CAGTGATCTAAGTTTGTCCAGTAGGTTCTTCTTGTGTCAGGAACACATACAGTTGAAGATAAGTTCACAGAGATATTTTGAGAAAAGATCATGATGTGAATTGCTAGAATGAAGGTCACTGACTTTAGTAAAAGTCCATCATTCAACAAAACCCTATGTTTCCTGACTGCTCTCTCTCTCTCTCTGCATTTTAGCTAACAGCTATGGCTGTCATTTACTCTCTCTCTCTGCATTTTAGTTAACAGCTATAGCTGTCATTTGCTCTCTCTCTCTCTGCATTTTAGCTAACAGTTATAGCTGTCATTTGTTCTCTCTCTCTGCATTTTAGCTAACAGCTATAGCTATTTGTTCTCTCTCTCTTTCTGCATTTTAGCTAACAGCTATAGCTGTCATTTGTACTCTCTCTGCATTTTAGCTAATAGCTGTAGCTGTCATTTGTTATTTCTCTCTCTTTCTCTCTCTCAGGATAAAATATTTTATTAACAACTGTCATTTAATTGCTCTCTCTCCCAGGTTAATCTTTAGCTCAATAAGGGTTTCTGTATCAGCTGTTTATATGCTATATGCAATGAATAACACAGTAATGTACCCCTACACACCTACTGGTAGCACATCACAGTGCGCAACCAACACTGACGACATATAATACAAACTAAGTTTCACTCCTTAAGTCTTTTTTTCCAGGGTATAGGTGCAGTCGATCAAGTTGATTAATAAATAAAGGTCTGAACAAAAGAACATCTAGAGTATTATCAGGTTGTTTGAAAGATGAGCCCTTAATGGGAAGGAATAGCATGGTGGCGGGTGCCAAAGTATGTCAGTCATATGGGGATTGGCTGACTGTGTCCCAGGGTATAGGACAAAAAAGGTTTAGGACATATTATGTAGCTCGTCAGCTGGAAAGTCTAAAGAGGGAAAAGAAAACCTACTTGTTTGAAAACGTATCAGACACAAGATGAATTACAAAGTGTCACATCACCTTCCTGTAGGAGTAACCTAAGGTCTTATTCACTACGACTTAATTATTTTTTTTTCTGGTTGGAGGCTGATGTACTTGACTAAAGATGTCTTTGTTTTCTTGGTATCAGATTTCGAGCAACAGAGAGAACTGCAAGGGTTGTTTCAGGGCCAGTGAGGTGTATGGCTTTTTCCGTCAGTATGGAGATATGAAAAACTTAATTCTGGTGATCGGAAATCATTAACTGCAATAACAAAACCCCTGTTTTTCTTGTTTTCATATTGTAAAATACAAAGTTGTAATTGTATAATGAAGAGTTCAGCAGGGTAGAAGAAAAATATTGAAAACTTTCATTCATGTGAGAAGCCAGCTTTCTCATGTATCAAGAATGTTACAAATGATTAAAGATTACCAAACAATAGAGATGAATGGGAGGAAAATGAGACAGCTTCTATTGATTTGTCAAGGAGAGAGAGAGAGGGGGGGGGGGATGTTCCTGTATTTGTAAGTAATTGACATATGCAGGAGAAAGTGAGAAAGGGGGGGGGGGGGTAAATTCCTCTTTATACAAGTAATGGATGATTATTTTTGGTGAAATATATGTACAGTAATTGAGATGGAGATGGCAGATGCACTATCATTAAATGTTTTCAGAAAACCAATTTGCAGAGAAAAGTTTTGGGTTAACAAATTCTTGAAATGCAGGTCAAAAAGTAGAGTTTGGGATTCTCTCTATTTTTTTGAAGTTTTGCTTCCTGCTTTATTTCAGATTAACAAAACATAATGATGACTCAAGAAGTTAAGAACTGCTGTTAAGACAATGTGTCATTAGTTAAGAAGGTTGAGCAGTCTTGCCGATTTTACCAGCTGCTGAAATTTAGAATCTTGTTTTCTGCTAATCTTTCCTCACTGGGGAGGTCTATTCATGTTAATCAGTAGCTACCTGAGAGGAATTTTTTCAGATGTTTCGTTGCCCGTTTATTTGCTTTGCATCCTCTGTAGTGAAAGCAAAGCAAAGACATAGTATTCTGTTTGATGTTATATAAGAATGTGTAAACAGAATAATACTAGGGAGAGGTATATCAATGGGTTTTTTTTCCCGTATCGTTGTAGAAGAAAATTGGCATGGAATGATATTGAAGGATACGCTTGCAAGATAATTCAAATTTGCAGCATTTTTTTTTTTTTGCTGTTCTCTAGATCTTTGTTGGAAAGGTGAGGGGGGATTCAGACTGATTATCATTCATAATGAACATGCTTTGATGAGAGAAATTTAAAGAAAATGTAATTATACTATACACATGCATGTATTTACCATTTCTTGATGTATATTGTGCAGGTACCTTCTTGAAGTGTTCGAGACTCATGTTTTTGCAATTTATGATTACACCAGAGACAGATCGATGTCCGTCATCTTCATTTGTAGTAAATTTTGAGTAAAAAATGAGACTGCATCATGGATCCAAAAATGTTGTCTGGGAATAAAAGAAGTGCTGTATATGTAATTGGAATTTGAAATAGAGTCTTTATGAGATGGTGTCTTTTATGAGGACACTATACTTAATAATTATCCCTTCACAAGGAAGGTGGAGGGGATATACTGTAAACCAACTGTTATTCATGTCATCTTTTATTCGCAATTCGTCAGTTTGAAATCGATCCACAGCAATTGATTTTCACGACTGAGGATATATTCTCTACAAATAAAAAGTAAAATAAATGGTTAGCTGCAATTAATATTCGCAAGTTAAAAAAAGTCACGAAACTCGCAGACATTTCTTGCATGTTAAAGTAGGTCGCGAAACTCGCGAACATTTCTTGCACGCGAATAAAAGTTTGTTTACAGTAGTAATGCATTTGTGTGTGTTTATGACTGAGTGAGCTTGCATACATTGGAAGGTACACAAACTATATATCTGCAAACTATATGTCCAGATCCATGTGCTCTTTTGCAAGGGGATGCTCCGCTTTGCAGTGCCCTTGTTAATATATGATATTAGTTTTAATAGTTTTGTGGTGCAGTATGCTTGCAATGCTTATCGTCAGCATATTAGCTGATCAATGCTAGGACTTGAGCACAGGTTTCTTCTTTAATGTGGCCATAATGAGATTTGGCTAGACATCTTACAGGGCAAGATTAATCACCAATTTACAGTTATCTAAACTGTTTATATATTATTTTCATGCTCGTAAACAGAGCTGATTAGAGAAACATAACCCTCCATTGTAGATTGTGCATGTTTAGAGAAGATTATCTCCAGGATACACCCTTCTTTAATGAATGGACATGTAATATGATAAAGGTTTTTGGAGAATATTGATGTGGCAGAAAGGGTCAAGAGGGCAGTGTAGTGTACTTTTCTGTATATTCATTTTACAACTGCCCAAGAGGTGAATTATTGTCTGTAGATGTTTTGAGAAATTATCTTATCAGTAATTTTTTTTTTTAACATGGAGATCCATGGCACACTGTTTCATGTTGCCTGTCACAGCCCACCCCCTGTCTTGGGGCAGTAATGGATGAATTGAGCAATGAAATGAAACAATATGAGATATGGCCTGATAAGTTCAAGGATCAGAGATTTTTTGCAGTGACAATAATGCTGGAAGCATTCAAAGGTTGTTGACACCCATTAAACAAATGTATTTAATGTGTTGTGCAAGTTACTGCAGTCAACAAGACATGCATGTGGTTAACTTGACAGATAATAGATGAGGATTGAAAGATCAATGTACTTTTTTTTGATTCTTAAAACAACTTTATACTGTAGATTATGCTGGTACTGTGAGAGAGGAATATAAAATTAAGGGTTGGGATTGGGGGGGGGGGGGGGGCTGAATAGTAGTGGATTAATTCTCTTTAGAGAAGTGGATAGGCTTTAATCTACATCCACTTCAAAGTGGATGTAGGCTATGCCTGTCTACTTTTATTTTAGAGAGAATAGGTAGTAATGCTGATGAGCAATTAAGAGCTTTGAAGTTAAAAAAAATTCCAAAAGACCTTTCTATTCCTGGTGGAAATGCTTCTGTTCATTTGTAGTACATTTCTTAATGACTTCCTTGCCTTTCTGTGATAAAAAAAGAAGTCTGTGGTTATTTTCTTAATTGGTACTAATTAATAGTAGCAATACAATATATTGCTGTTATTCAACATGAAAAAAACGCACAATCAAACACAAAAAAATCAAGACTTGAGGAAGCCCGAGTTTCTGTTTATTGCCGTAGTTGAACTCTCTCAGTGCTCTTATTACATTCAATACTCCACGCTACATTTACCAAAGTGGTAATTCATGGCAACTAAATGGAAGTATTTTCTCATAAAAAATAAGCGTGCTTTGAATTGATTCTGATCCTACAGAAAAAAATAAAATAACCAGCAACAAAAGAACAGCTTGTTGATCGATTAAAAGCAGTTGTACTGGGATTATGTAGGATCAGAAGTGATGTTTGAAGGACATATGTTAGGTTTTACTGTCTAGAGAATGTCTTTGACATTTAATGACAGGCTTTTAATAATATGGTGTAATACACAGATATCATACATTTCATGAAATATACAAATAGACATCATTATAAATACATCAAAGCGGAAGAATTTTTCAATTATGAAAGAGGAGCTTGATGGATGCCGTTAATTAATTGTGTGGAGTTTTGTCATTATAGTTATAATTAAAATGTTTATTACGGTACATCCACATTTTCTGAAATTATCGAGATATTTATCCTTAATTGCCATCAAAAAGCTGAATTCAAGCCAAAAATTGATACTTAGTTGAAAATGATGTTTTATTAACAACGTGTAGGTCTCCATTAAAAAAATATAACCTGGTTTTTTCGGCTGGCTCAAAAGCAAAATATGATGAAAATCAGATAAGAAAAAAAAATCATTTTTTAATTTTCCTTTATTCATTGTTATTTATTAATTGAATTTATACAAGGTATACATGTACTAGTATATATCACAGTTGAGAGGGATCATGGGTATGACCTATAAGGTACAATATGAAATAAATACTCAGTATTTTGTTTGTTTCAATCATAGGACCTCCAAGCAGAAGTTGACACAAACAAGACAACATATGAGTCTCTAAACAGTAGCGGGGCTCGACTGACGAGAACGATGGGGGTGAGCGACGCTCAGGCTCTACATCGAAGACTGGAGGAGATGAACCAGAGATGGATCAGTCTCATGACAAAGTCCATGGAAATCAGGTGAAGATACTTATAACTTACATGTGTATCAATTTTACATATTAAGGGAGAACTGCTTCTAATTTTTAAATAGAATTTTTCTGTATTGATGACATTTTTCTCTAATGAAGGGTGAATTTATGGATATAAAATTCATGCAAATTTGCAAACAGGGCAAAATTTGAGACAAATTTTTGTTGAAGTATATTTTTTTTTTTTTTGAAATGTCTTTTTTAGGTCACCTGAGTCACTCAGGTGACCTATTGCTATCCGTTTTTGTCCGTCGTCGTCCGTCGTGCGTTAACATTTAAACATTTTCAGCTTCTTCTCTGAAACCGCTCAACCAATTTCAACCAATTTTGGCATATAGAATCTATGGGTGAAGGGGGACAAAAATTTTGAATTTCATGGTCCCTGCCCCCCTGGGGCCTGAGGGGTGGGGATAAAACCACCAAAATTAATGCAATCTTTAAAAATCTTTTTCTTTCCTCCTGGACATCAAGCAGTCAAACTGTTGGCATGATTGTAATAAGCATTGAGCCCTCTACCAAAATTGTGAAATTCATGGCACCAGGGTCAGGGGTTCTGGTGCTAGGGCGGGGCTAAATAGATCATATAGTGAAAGTGCATTATTTCTTTGAAAATCTTCTTCTCTGCTCCTGGGTATTTGATAAACTAACTAAGTACATAGTTATGTAGAGCAAGACTGCCTCTTCCAAAATTGTGAATTTCATGGCCCCTGGGTCAGGGGTTCTAGTGTTAGGGTGGGGCTCTATTGATTATATAGTGAAAATGCATTATATCTTTGAAAATCTTCTCCTCTGCTCCTGGGTATGAAATTAAGTAACTAAGTACATAATTATAATGAGCATGGCTGCCTCTTCCAAAATTGTGAATTTCATGGCCCCTGGGTCAGGGGTTCTAGTGTTAGGGTGGGGCTCTATTGATTATATAGTGAAAATGCATTATATCTTTGAAAATCTTCTTCTCTGCTCTTGAGTATTAAATAAACTAACTAAGTACATAGTTATGATAAGCAAGAGTGCCTCTTCCAAAATTGTGAATTTCATGGCCCCTGGGTTAGGGGTTCTGGTGTTAGGGTAGGGCTCTATTTGATTATATAGGGAAAATGCATTAAATCTTTGAAAATCTTCTCCTCTGCTCCTGGGTATGAAATAAAGTAACTTAGTACATAGTTATAATGAGCATGGCTGTCTCTTCCAAAATTGTGAATTTCATGGCCACTGGGTCAGGGGTTCTAGTGTTAGGGCGGGGCTCTATTGATTATGTAGTGAAAATGCATTATATCTTTGAAAATCTTCTTCTCTGCTCCTGGGTATGAAATAAAGTAACTAAGTACATTGTTATGATGAGCATGGCTGCCTCATCCAAAATTGTGAATTTCATGGCCCCTGGGTCAGGGGTTCTGGTGAAGGGGGGGGGGGACTTTATTGATTATATGGTGAAAATTCATAATTTCTTTCAAGATATTTTTTTCTACTCCTGGTTATAAAGCAAAGAAACAAGTGTATAGTTATGATAAGCAAGGAAGCTTTTACAAAATTTTTAAAACTTGTGGTCCCAGGGGTTCTGTTGTGTCTCTGAGGGGGGGGGGGGGGGGGGGGGCTCTATTTGATAATATAGTGAAAATGTGTGAATTCTTTGAAAATCTTCAACTAATTGCATAGTTATGATGATGAGGGTACCTCTTCCAAATTTGTAAATTTTCAACATCTGGACCATTTAGTCAAGTGTTCTGGTCCTGGCCAGGACTCTATTAATTTGTATTCTATTGAGTGAAGTTATTCCCCTTTGCCATTCACTTTTGATAATTAATCACTGTAGATAATGTATTTGAAAGGTTAATAGAATAAGAGAATTATGCAAGAACATTTATTGTATAATATAAAAAGTACTTTCATAGTTTTAATAATCAGGTAGACTTGGAAATAATAGAATAAATAAAAATGAAACAAAAATAACTTATCCTCGTAAATGTTCTTCAAAGGCCAAGTGAGGCCAATGTGAGGGGTAATAATATAGACATTTTGTTAAAAGTCTGCATGGTAATAGTGATAAATGGGGGACAGATAGAAAGATACTAGACCAATTATTTTTTTATCTTAATCATACTAATTTTCTTGCTATTGGGCAACAATTAAAGCTTCATTTATCAGTTTATGGATCCTCTATATTGTTGTGCTCAGGTGACCGTTAAGGCCCTTGGGCCTCTTGTCTTCAATAAGTCGAAGTTATCTCTGTAGTAAGCAGAGTGGTATCCCCTCTTCAATATTGGTTCATTTTCTTTAAGCAAGCATTGAAATAAATGATTTAGAGACAATGGAATCAGAAATATTGTCTATTAAAATGTGAGGGGGCAGTTTAACTGTCTGTCAGTCTTGGCCATAACTTCTGAAGTTCACAGGACAAGGATATGATATTTGGTCATTGGTTGGGTATAGCTAATTATAAGTGCCGCATATTTAATCAAGGTCAACCTAAAGAAAGGTCAAATAAGAGTAATGCTAAAAAGGGGGGGGGGGTTGCTAGTATTTCAAAAACATTTTTATTTATGAGTGCATTACTTGGCTATATTTATTATCTGATAAAAAGATATTTATAAAAAAAAAAAAGTGGTGGTTTTTGAATATTAATGAAGATAAACATATTTTGTAAAGTTTATTCATGTTGATAAATGACGTGGTTCATAAAAGCATTTGCCTAATCAAAATTAACCTTATCCATTTGGGATTATAATGAAAAATGATAAAAATGAATCTACACATAGGGTGTGACTTCATGTTGATAATAAAACACCTGGAATTGGTCTGTTAAACTTTAATCATGTCAGTCAAAAATTTTTACCTGTGACGTGGTCTAAATCGAAATCAAAAGGACTAAACTGTTTGAGCAGAGCTAGGATAAAATAAACATTGCATAGGCCTGACAGAGAATGTAAAGGAAGGAATGTTTTAAATGCCATTCTTTCCAGTGTTGACTTTTTCCCTCCATACTCTGCCCCTCCACAAAGGAGGGGATGACGAAACTAATTGTGTGTGTCTTATCAGAGCTAATTTGAGTTATCTCGTAAACCTGCATTAATGAGCCAAGACTTTCACCTGCCCCAAGAAAATATTTCTCCCCTTTTTCTGGGGAACCAAGGTTGTCATTGCGGTATATATATGGGAAAATGATGACTCTATCACAGCTGGTTAGAATTTAAAAAACACCTGTGAATGAAAATATTACAGATGATTGGGGCACAAGTGTACAAAAAAAAACTTCCTTTACCTGTGATCGATGAAGATTTGTGTGGGACTATTATTGTGTATGCGTGAACGGTGGTCTCTTTTTTTGGAGTTTTCTTTTTTCGGAGTACATGTCACAGTCTTGTGAGTCAGAATTGGGGAACTTTATTTTGTGCAGTGAAAAAGATCAATCATATCGTTGAGAATTTCTAGAGGATTTATAGATGAGATGTGTACAGCACCTTAAATTGTATTGTTAAAAGTTACAATATTTATGGAATTCATCAGAGATTAATTGATGTGGAGAAATTTAAGTGAGTGAAAATGTTGAATGCAGTTGATCACCAGGAACTAAATGTCTGCATTGACTAGGGGATTTACGAAATCTAAAAATTAGAAAAACAAAACTTAAATCTGATTCTAGACAGTAGAATGTTTTCTGTTATGGAGTTTTTAATCTCTGGCTTGTGAATCAGGATGAGGTTTGTCGCATTGGTTGGACAGAGGGCTGATGCCCCTCCCCTGTATAATGAAAAGTGGGAATCCCCTCCACCTTACGATGTGAGGTCTGAAACCCCATCCCCTTTCGATGAGCCTCTAAGGGTTATTGCCCTTGTCGGCCATAGAAATAACGGCTGCGATTCTCTCAACAGGAGGAAAAAGAAAAAAGTAACGTGGTAGGCAATAAAAATTGGTTTCTCCAGAACATTGAGCTTCTTTGGGCGGATTTAGTGTTCCCTAATGAGGGTCTTAGTCTAGTCATTAAAGTACAGTCTAGAAGTTAATCGAATATTTATGTGTAGTCACTAAATGTTTAGCACTACATTACTTGTCAGCAACTGAGGGATTTGAGGGTACACTTTCTAGAAGTCTTATTCATCTTTTGATAGACCATCATATTTTTTTTTTTTACATTTTTTTTTTTAGTTGACCTATATATATAAATATATATATATGTGCTTCAATTGGTTTAGTGCTAGAAAGCCATAGTGAATTTTATCATATCTTGATTTTGAAGATACCCATACCGAAATAAATTATAACTTAGTTATAACTTTTGTAACTAAAAAAAGGTACAAAAAAGTTATAACTAAGTTATCGGAGTTTGGAACCGCCTGTTTTAAGTGAGGTATAATTTAGTTATAACTTAGTTACAAAAAAGTTATAACTTTTGTATAAGTTTTCATTTTTTATTTCAACATAAATACAGCAAGTGCAAAAAGTTACAAAAAAGTTATAACTACAAAAAGTTATACTTATTAAAAGTTACACAAAAAGTTATAAAAAAGTTACAAAGTTATACTTTAGTTATACCCAAATAAACGGTGGAAAAAGTTACAAAAAAGTTATACCCGGAAAAAGTTATTTAAAAAGTTATAAAAAAGTTATACTTAATAAAAAGTTATAACTAAAAAAAGTTATACCCATGAAAAGTTATAACTTTAAAGATTATGAAAAAGTTACAGAAAAGTTATAACTATGAAAAAGTTATGAAAAAGTTACAGAAAAGTTATACCTAAAAAAAAGTTATAACTACAAAAAGTTATACCTAATAAAAGTTATACCTAATAAAAGTTACAATAAAATTATACACTTCATGTTAACCTGTGGTGGAATAACTCAATTATAGGCTTTAAAAAAGCTACTCATTAAAATGTTTACAAAAAGATTATTAAAATTTTTACAAAAAAGATTATTTAAAAAAAATTAAAAGCACTTACAATTTTATTTTATAAACATGATTAAGAGAGCTTGGTTCATTGTCAAATACAA